TGTCTCTTTATTAATAATTATAAAATTATTCTATTCTTTGGGACCCTCGGTCTGCAACACTTTACAATAGCTTTGTCACCTGTCCTATCCTGAGCCAGTCTCACTGTCTCTAACACGCCTAACCCTATGACCCCAGCTACTGTGTCAATCCATCTCAGTCAGGGTCTTCTTCTCTTGCACTGTTCCTTCACTCTTTCAAGCATGATGTCCTTCTCCAAGGACTGGTCCCTCCTGCAAACATGCCCAAAGTTTGTAAGATGGAGTTCAAAATTGATTCTCCCTCTGTCATCTTTAGTCTTTGTCCAGCTCTCTGATGCATAGCAAGTAATTGCAAAGACTATGGCCTGGATCAGGTGCACCTTAGTCTCCAGACTGCCATCGTTGCTCTTAAGCACTCTGGAGAGATCTCTAAGAGCAGATTTTCTTAATGCAATTTGCCTTTTGATTTCCTGACAAGAGTTTTTATTATGGAGCCTAGCAAGCTTAAATTGTTAACAATCTCAATCTCTTCTCCATCTATCATGGTGCTGCCAAATGGCCCAGTAGTGAAAATCTTTGTATTTATTCCCATTTTTTAAAAAAAGAGGTGGAAATTATTGAACAGTATCACTAATATCACATGCAAGCAAAATCCTGCTCAGGATTATCCAAAAATGACATAGACTGCTAAGAAAAGGTTTATCCTCGAGAGGGTGAAACCAGGCTGCTCTTTGAAGGCAAGAATTCTGAAGCTTCATCTGACATACTTTGGACATGTTGTAAGGAGGGACCAGTCCCTGGAGAGGGACGTCATGCTTGGGAGGATGGAGGGACAGTGCAGGAGAGGAAGACCCTCTATGAGGTGGATTGATGTAGTGACTGGAGTAATGGGGGTGGATGTGTCCGAGACAATGAGGCTGGCACAGGACAGAGCAGGGTTTAGGGCTGTTGTACATAGGGTCGCTATGAGTCGCAGGCGACTTGACGGCACATAACAACATCACTAATACCACATGCAAGCAAAATCTTGAAGATTATCCAAAAACTACTGGAACAGTACATCAACAGAACTATCAGAAATACAAGCTGGGTTTAGAAGAGGCTATAAAGGACAAATATTGCATGGTGCCACTGTTGTAAAATGGGATTGATATCAGGGTTGGGGTGAGACTGAGAAAAACTGGATAAATTGTGTATACTGCAGTACTGAATGTACCATGGACTGCCAGGAAAACAAACAGATTCATCTTGGAGAGAATTAAACCAAGCTACTCCTTGGAGGCAAGGATTCTGCGGCTTTGTCTGACATACTTTGGACATGTTGCCAGGAGGGACGGGTCCTTGGAGAGGGACATCATGCTTGGGAGGGTGGAGGGACGGCGCAGGAGGGGAAGACGCTCTATGAGATGGATTACTGGGGTAATCGGGATGGGTGTGTCAGAGGCAGTGCAGTTGGCGCAGGATAGAGCAGGATTTAGGGCTGTTGTGAATAGGGTCGCTATGAGTTGCAAACGACTCTATGGCACATAACAACAACAACAACTGCACTGAAACAGATGAGGGAGTGAATAATTTAAAAGCGATGTGCGATAGGGTATTATGGTTATCATAAGAGTCCACAATTAAGATTGCATAGTGGAATGTACTTGGGGCAGTGGGAGGGGTGTGGGGGAGATTGTGTACCAGGGAAGGAGTGTTTCTTTTGCTTTTGAAAGAGAGGAGCGAATTGGGGGAAGGGGAGGTCTGGGTGGGGAGAGAAGTGTAGCAATGAATGAATGGAAATCCAAAATCTCTGTAAATGCTCATTAAAATTATTTTTTAAAAAAAGAAACTGTAAAAAACAAACTATTAACCATTAAAAAAAAAGAGGAGGCTATAGCACGAGGGACATCATAGCCAATGTCAGATGGATCTTAGCTGAGAGCAGAGAATATAAGAACAATGTCTATCTATGTTTCATTGACTATGCATAAGTATTTGTGTGAATCACAACAATTTGTGGCTAACACTGAGAAGAATGGGAAATCCAAAACATCTGATTGTGCTCTTGCAAAACCCACAGTCAGACCAGGAAGCAATGGTCAGAACAAACACTGCATGATTCAATAGGGAAAGGAGAACGTCAGGGACATGATGTTAATGAAATAGTTCAATAATTTCCACATTGTTGCATCACATATTTTGAAGTCAGAACAAATATGGATCTCTTCCTCATAACTGACCCTTCAGCGGGGTTTCTGGGACGGTATAAATGACATGGAAGGTGATTTTCTGTCTTTCTCCCTCAGAGACTGGTGGATTCAAATCAGCACAGAGGCACCACCTTTAGGTTAACGGTCCAACTCCCTACAGAATACAATCCTAGAAAACAGTAAAGAATTTGCAAAACACTGGATACCATGTATAAACCTAGAAAAAAAGCGTGCTTTTTTTAGGAGTGGCATAAGTCAGTCACAAAAAGACTAATATTGCATGAGACCACCACTATTCATAAAAACCAAGGAAAGGTTTACACAGAAAAGTCATTCTTGTATGATTACCAGGGACAGGAAGGGACAGAGAGGGTAGTAAAAATTAGTTAATATATAACAACTCAAAACGTGGCTCATTGCCCTCAGAACCAGACCCTCTCTCCATTAGATTCCTAAAGCTGTAAATCACACAGGAGGAAATTGCCCAACTTTCTCCCACAGGGAAGGTGCTGAACCTCCACCGAGGTGTGGCCCTTGGACTGGAAGCAAAATGTCCTGGGGACTATGCCAGCAGAGCCCCCTCAATAGCTAACAGTCAGTAGTCAGACAGGCGAGAGGAAAGAGAATGTACAGTAAGAGGACAGTGCACTAGAAAGAGGGAAGACAAAAAATGCCATCGGCAGTGATAGAGAAACAGGCAAAATAAGCAGATGTTAAAGAAGCTGAGAATGTCGGGAAGCGAAGGAAAAGCAGATGAAGCAGATTGGCACAGTGACTGGGGCAATTGAGTCCGGTGTGTGGCTCAGGAGAGGGCAAAGTTCAGAGCCATTGTTCACAGGGTTGATAAGAGTCCCAGTCACTGAATGGCACTTTAGAGCATCATAGGAAAAGTGTAATTATATGGCAGATATTTTAATTAATGCTATGAAAGAAAATGTGTATGAAAAGTCAGTTTGCTTTGTAGACTGTCACTCAAATCACAAATAAATTATTTCAAAAAAAATCTTCTGGGTTGCACACCCATGTTTATGGCGGCTTTGTTCACAATAGCAAGGAGTTGGAAACAACCTAAGTGCCCATCAACAAACGAATGGATAGAGAAGCTCTTGTATATTCACACAATGGAATACTATGCTGCATTGAAAAACAAAGAACTCATGCAATATTATTCAAAATGGGTGACCCTGGAGGACATTATGCTGAGTGAAGTATCTAAATCACAAAAGGACAAATACTGCATGGTACCACTGTTGTAAAACAGGACTGACATCGGGGTTGGGGGGAGACCAAACAAGATGGGTTCAATAATGTATACTGCATTGAAACAGATGAGGGAGAGAACTGCTTAAAAGGGATATATGATTATGTATTTTTGTCATGACAGGAGTCCAGAGCAAAGGCTGCATAGTGGTGTGGACCTGGGGGGAGGGATTGTAAAACAATGAAAGAATTTTTCTTTTTCTTTTCAAAGAGGGGAGTGTACTGGGGGGCGGGGAGAAAAGTACAATGAATGAATGGAAATTCAAAGTCTCTGTAAATTTTCACTGAAATTAATAATTAAAAAAATTAAAAATCTTCCATGTTGGAGCTCTGGTGGTCCAGTGGAAAGAAGCTGCACTGCAATCCCAGCTGTGTGTGGTTCAAATCCACCAGATTCTCTGCTGGGGAAGGAGGAACAATCTTTTTTTGTGTGTTTGACGATACAAACACAAAAGTTAATAAGATAAAATGTTAAAAAAACCTTCCGGGTAGTTCTACTGCCTTACAATGTTGCCATGAGTAGATTCATATATTGCTCTGAGTTGGAATCTACTCGATGGCAACTCAAGCCGATTCTGACTCTTGGCGACTACCCAAGGGGTTTCACCAGAGGAGACTGTCCTTCCCACAGAGTGGCTGGTGGATTCCAACCTCAGCCCTTTCTATTAGCAGCGGAACACATAACGCACCACGTCACCAAAGGTTCTTTACGAAGGCACCAGATGTGTAACTTTTTGTTTACTATGCGCAAGCATATTCCATGAAAGCTTTACCCCACCCATTGCCAGGAGCCAAGTCCCAGCTCTGAGACGCTGAAGAACCATTAACTTGATAGGAAACCTACAACCACCAGCCAGAGAGCGCTCCAGCGTCTCTTTCGCTCCCAAACTCGACTGTCCAGGCACGCTGGCTGCTCTCTGGCGCCCCCGGTCGGCCGCTAGGCCCCACTCCAGCATTAATCCGCTTTCATTCTAGCGGCTTGGCTTTGCCACCCCAGAACCGCAGGGTCCAGTCCTAGCGTCAGCCCTTTTCAGCCCAGACCCCAGCGCTCCCGCCCTCCTTCCTCTAGAGAAGAGATGCTGTGGCCAAGGAGGCGACCATTCCCTTTAATGCTAGGCCCCTGGTGTAGGGGAATGAGTGACCCTCCGGCCCTAAGCTCAAGGGAGTCTCCTGCAGGTCACCCAGACAACAGCAGACAGGGAATTCCTGGGGTGGGAGTGAAGGCGGTACGAGAGGTGGGAACAGGGGAGGAGGGGCGAAGGGAGAAGGAAGTACCCAGGTTCATGAAGCCACAGTCGAGCCGGGGGACTTGACCTTCCAGGGCTAGGTTGACTCTTCAGTAGGTCTCCCGCTGGGGGTCAGAGACATTCCGAGGACGTCAGCTCCCCACGAGCATCCAGCTCCCTGCTGGTCTTTGCGGTGAGCTCAGCACCAGGCCCCTCACTGCGCCATTCTGCCACCCTCTCCGTGCGCTGCGCTCCAGGCCCCAGTGGGGTCTCGGGTCAGTTGCGAGCCGACCCAGACAGAGAGGTAAGGGGAAGTGGGCGCTGGCCTAAGCGATCCTCACAGATGTCCGGAGCTCTCTTCGCGCCCCCGGAGGGCCTGGGTGGCCTGGACGCGGCGAGCGGTCACCCGCTGGTGTGCGCGCTGTGCCACGCGCAGTACGAGCGCCCGTGCCTGCTGGACTGCTTCCACGACTTCTGCGCCGGCTGCCTGCGCGGCCGCGCTGCCGACTGCCGCCTCGCCTGCCCGCTGTGCCAGTGAGTGTCCTAAGGGGACCCCCGCTGGGCCCGAGGCTGGCTCCGCCTAGGCTCGGCTCTGGTGCAGAGAGGCCAAGCAGATTCAACTAAAAGGGTCTGCGCCCAGCCCGCAGCTCTTACAGGTTCTCGCCCAATTTACAGTGAAAACTAATTGAGGACTGGAAAAGCCATATGGGTCAAAGTTGCTACCGAAGTCAAGGAGGAGGGCCTGCTTCTGTTCTGACTCCTTGCTTCGGTGGAACTTGGTCTCACCACAGGATCACGATCTTTCCAGTAATTCTGGGTCCCAGATCAACATAACTGACTGGCTTACGTTACCAGAGAGTGACCCTAAATTTACCCAGGGCAGTTTGAGCGTGTTGGTTTCTGCCTTTGACACCTCCAGTCTCCAAATTTCCGAGGACTAGGGGTTGGTGGTGCTAAGACTAGCTCAGCTGTGTGCTGCCTGCCCTGAGATATTTATAGCCAAGCCAGGCAGGCTGGGTTCCCACCTCTCTCCGCTATTGTTAGCTCCTGTCTGGAATGTGAGAATAGGCATGAGGCATCCAAGAAGGGGCTCCCTGATTCTGCCTCCATGCTCTCAACAGGCACCAGACTGTGGTGAAGGGCCCCAGTGGACTCCCGCCCGTGGACCGGCTGCTGCAGTTCTTGGTGGACAGCTCCCGGGATGGAGGCGAGGCAGTGCGCTGTGCCAACTGTGACCTGGAGTGCAGCAAACAGGCAGGGGCCACCAGTGGGCTGGGGAGTGGCAATGGCACAAGCTTACACAGTCATGGAAACTTGAGGCCAACAGTCCTAAGAGAATTCTCCCCCACTAAATTCTCCAATACTTCCCCTAAGACACCTGGGGCCTGAGTGTGGGACTCTTGATACAGGTGGGGAGGCTGAGGGCCAGAATAAGTGACTTGAGTCATTGACCAGATCATGGCAAGATTTAAGGCCATTTGACTTAGGGATAAGCTCATTGGTTCCCTGACCAGCCACTGGCGGGCCTCCTGCTACCTAGGTAAGGAGCTCTGACGGCCTGTTGTGTAATGTATTGACCTATTGTGTAATGTATCGGGCTGCTGACTGAAAGGTCAATGGTTCGAGGTCACCACTCCAAAGGAGAAAGATGGGAAATTTCCTCTGATAAAGATTTACGACTTCTGAACCCTGACAGAGGGGTTTTTTTGAGGGTAGGAATCAACTACATAGGAGTGGGTTTGCTACTGGGGCTGGGTATGTGTGTACAGATACCAGAGCACAAGGAGAAGTGAGGACAAGACACTCTTGGGGAGAGATGTCCTTGTCCCTGAGCCTAACAAAGACCAAAGAGCCTGAGGCCAGGCTTAGGCTGGACAGTGAAGGCAGGTGGGGTTCTGCCCTAAGAGGGTGGGGTCAGCTATTCTGCATCCTAGAAGTGTAGGCTTGCTCGAGATTGCTGGGATATGTATGACTTGGGCATGCAGAGATGATTAAAGGCAGAGAGGGAAACAGCCTTGAATGCCAAGGTAAGGAGTTGGCATTTGCTGCGGGAAGCACTGCTGAGATGCGCACTAGGCTCAGTCCAGGCCAGAACTTAGTCCTGGGTCTGATCTGGGGACCCAGGCCCTCATTCCTTTTCTCTCCCCCCCATGGAGCTGTGACTCCAGTTTGGCCATTACAGGGGACTCCATGGGGCCTTGAGAGCCCTATACACACATTGTTCTTGTGTATTGTCAAGCTGATCCATGTAGTTTGACCTCCTCCCTTGCCTAAAACTCCTTCCCAAGTGCCTTCTAGATAGCTGTCCTTTCCTGGATATACTAGAGTTTTGAGCATCTGGAAATGATTCTCCCGCGGGCAGTTCCCGCTGAGGCCGTGCTCCGCTCGCAGGACTCGGAGACCATGTACTTCTGCAACACGTGCGGGCAGCCTCTGTGCGCGCGCTGCCGCGATGACACGCACCGGGCGCGCATGTTTGCGCGCCACGACATTGTGGCCTTGGGCCAGCGCAGCCGCGACGTGCTCCCAAAGTGCGGTGAGTGTGCGCGGGGGAGGGGAGGGAGAGAAGGGGTGGGCGTGAGTGTAGGGTTGGGGGATAGAGGTGGAGCCTGGAGTCAGCTGAGTGACTTTAGTTCCCCATCCCAGCCCTGCACGCTGAGCCCTACATCATGTTCTCCACTGACAAGAAGTCGCTGCTGTGCATCCGCTGCTTCCGGGACATGCAGGGGTGAGTAGATGGGGCGGGGAGGGATGAGGCTGGAAGGAGCAGAGCTCACCTGCGCCCACCCCACAGGGAGGGGCGGGCCCACTGCGTGGACCTGGAGTCGGCCTACGTGCAGGGCTGCGAGCGCCTGGAGCAGGCAGTGCTGGTGAGCTCGGGGCAGAGGCACGAGGGCGCGGGCGAGGGTCGTGGCAGCTGAGCTGAGCTGGTCCTTGTCCCCAGGCCGTGAAGGCCCTGCAGACGGCCACGAGGGAGGCCATCGAGCTGCTGCAGGCCATGGTGGAGGAGGTGAGGCGCAGCGCGGCCGAAGAGGAGGCCGCCATCCACGCCCTCTTTGGCAGCATGCAGGTGGGGGCCCTGAACCCACAGCCTCCACTTGGCGTTAACTTCGTTAGTTGCTGGGAGTAAACCAAGGGAAGCCACCTGGGCCCTGGGCTGGCGTTGATGGGTGGAGGAGGGGCTGGGAGAGGCTTTGCTAATCAGGTGAGTTTGATAGGGCAGCAGGGAAGGCCTCTAGCCCACCTGCGGGCAGGGCTAACCTGGACGAGCTGGGGAGATGAAGAGCCTCTAGCTGGTGCCCAGGTGGGTGGGAAGTGGCAGCAGTGTGCCCATGGCTTGTATCTCTCAGGACAAACTGGAGGAGAGGAAGGCGCTCTTGCTGCAGGCTGTGCAGAGGTGAGCAGTGGTGGGTCTCCACCCATCTGCCTCAAGGCCTCCTCTGACCCCTGACAGCCTGGGCTTGGCCCCAGGGGGCAAAACATCCAATGCTCACCCTCTGAGAAGGGCAGGGTGACTCAGAGGTGGGACAGAGGAAGGAAGGATGGACAAGGCTGCCCATAACCCACACCTAGCTGTGGGGAGTGGCATTGCCCAGATTGGAGGACTTGCTGGGGGTGGTGCCCAGCCCTACCCTTGGAGATGAGGCTGCCTGCCCCTCCCCCAGCCAGTATGAAGAGAAGGACAAAGCCTTCAAGGAACAGCTCACCCACTTGGCCACCCTGCTGCCCACCCTGCAGGTAAGGGGGCAGTGCTGGGGATACAGGCCTCCTCCCAGGCTGGGCACTGAGCATTCGTCCTTCCACAGGTTCACCTGGTCATCTCCTCCTCCTTCCTCAGTTTGGCCAACAAGGCAGAGTTCCTGGACCTTGGTTACGTGAGTCTCCTCAGCTCCTGCGGGTGCCTTGGAGCCCCCTGCACCCTCCCCCACTTGCTGCCAACTCTGGATTCGGCAGTTTATCACAGGGAGGCTGAACGCCCCTGAGCAGCTGGCCTCTACTTCATCATTTAATAGCTGGCATTTGGGGATGAGGTGCTATCAAGCTGGAGAATCCTGGAAAGGGTGTTAGCCTTTGCTCCCCTTAAATACATGCACCCCGCCTTTCCTGGAGATACACTGGGGTGGAGCTCAAGGCCAGTCCCAGGGGAGGAGTGGAACTTCTAAAGGATATCAGGTAGTGTTACAGGCAGATTTACCCTCGGGGCCTCCTGGGTGCCTCTACCCTACCTGCGCCTCCACTGCTGAATGCCCCTACTGCTGCTGCCACAGGAGCTGATGGCCAGGCTGCAGGGCGTTGTCACCCGGCCACACCACTTGAGGCCTGTGCAGAGCAGCAAGGTGCACAGGCTTCCCCTGGGGTGGGTGGGCAAGGATTGGGAACCCATGGGCCAGAGCAAGTCTCCTAACACCCAGTCCCACTGCCCAGATCACCAGCGACCACCGCGCTGAGTTCGCACGCTGTCTGGAGCCACTGCTGTTACTGGGGTCACGCCGGGCTGCTGGCACAGGAGGCGCTGGCAGCACGTGAGCATGCCGGAGACCAGGGCTGGTTGGGAGCAGCGAAGGCCAAGTGCCTGCAGGCGTCTGGCTCCCAGAGGCCCTTAGCCCCAGCTGTCGCCTTCTGTCCTGCTTCCTGGCTACTGACTGGTCTCATACAGTAGGCTCAGTGTGGGGGAAGCAACCAGAGACCGCTTCCCCCAGGCTGAAGCCACTGGAAGACTCAGACCACAGCTCAACCAAGGAAGACATAGGGTCATAGAGGTTGTCCCCAACCACTGCTGCTGCCTCAACTCAGACTTGGGACCCCCAGGGTCTGTGGAAAGAGACAGCTTGGATTGATGCCTGAGCAGGACACAAGTGTGTGACCTGAGGCCCGGCGAGTGGGGAGGGGACTGAGCCAGAGGAGCAATTGTCTAAATAGCATTTCTGTGCCCAGGGACCAAAGGAGTCACCCAAGGGAGACTGATGTCCACATTCCCATGACTGGGTATGTGTGTGAGCCCAGATCTACTCCAGACTAGCTCTGTGGCGTCCCTTCAGGAGTTACTATGCCAATGGAGTTGGTCTTGGATGTGGCCTTGGCATTTGACATGTTACTGAGTTCCACAGTGTTTTTGATGTGCAGGTTGAACTAGAAAGTTGGGTCAGAGACTGACCATTCCAGGGGAGCCCAACTCCCCCACGTCTGCACCCATACTGGCTCTCTCCTCAGGCTTGCAGGGACTTCAGGGCCCAAGGTGCTGATGGGACCCTGCTGTCCCTCTCCAGTGGGAAAGATGTTGGGGTCGCCTGTCCAAAAGCCCACGCTGCACAGATCCGTCAGCACCAAAGTGCTCCTGGCCAAGGGTGAGGCTACACCCTTCACCGAACACTGTCGCCAGTATGAAGACTCCTACCGGGTGAGGAAGGCTTAACTCCCATGGGTAGAAAAAGCCCCAGTCCTCCCTTGCCAAGGTGCAGTGATCCTCCACAGACAGCCTGAAGGGTCAGGCCTAGGTCTGGCTGCCCACTCTGGAAGTCACGCCTCCCTTGGCCGTGAATAGCCAGGCTGCAGTGACCAGCACATGCTTGCCTTTGATCTCCCGGTGCAGAGCCTGCAGTTGGAGATCCAGAACCTGAAGGACCAGGTCCAGGAATTGCACCGGGATCTCACCAAACACCATTCACTCATCAAGGCCGAGATCATGGCAGACATCCTCCACAAGTCCCTGCAGGTGGACAGGAAGATTGCCTCACAGTGCGCCTCTGTGGAAGCCATGAGAACAGTCTTTGAGGAGGTAACCTTCCAGAAGAAAAAATCCCATTGTGCTGTGACCTCACTCTATCTCCTCCTTTGCCTGCATGGACAATCCCACCACAGACAGGGGAAGGGGGCTCTTGTCCTGATGCCACATCAGGCTCCTGGGAAAGGTTTGGGAACTGGGGAGGTTTTGCTCTCTGAAACCGCACAGGTCTGCCTTGGAAGTGCTGTGTAACTCTGAATAGCGGGAGGACAGAAAAGCCACCGGCGGAAATTCCAACTCACTGCAGTATCTGACTTACTTTCTCTTTTAGATTTGGGAGGAGTCTTACCAGCGCGTGGCCAATGAGCAAGAGATTTATGAAGGTGCTTAGGCTAATGAATGAAACCTGTGTCCCTGAGATAACCCACACTTAGCCGGAAGAAGGCCGTCACAGTAAACCACTAATCACTACAAGTTCACGTGCTGTACCCCTTTGCCTTGCCTAATGATTCCTTATTGGCCCCAAACTATGGACCTGAGGTCAGGTCTCAGTGAGTACAATGCCCTCCCCTCAGGCCTTGCTCTTTGATAAGTAATCATGCAACAGTTGGGATATCTGGGTGGCATCAGGCTTGATAGGAAGAACCAAGGATTAACTCTCTGGCCTCGGCCCCTACAGCCCAGATCCATGACCTCCTTCAACTAAAACAGGAGAATGCTTACCTGACCACAATCACCAAGCAGATCACACCTTATGTCCGTTCCATTGCCAAGGTGAAGGAGAGACTGGAGCCCAGGTGAGACAAGGGATGTTGCCAGAGCAACCAAGACACTTCAGACTGTGTAATTTAAAAACAGGTGTCACATATTCAGAAAAACTCCCTTTTTTTAAAAAAAAATTATTATTAATTTCAATGAAAATTTATGGAGACTTTGGATTTCCATTCATTCATTCATTCGTTGTTGCACTTTTCTCCCCTCCCAACTTTCCCCCTCTAAAAACTCTCTTTCAAGGGTCAGTGGGTGAGTTCATGAGGGCTCACCCCGGGAGGGGTGGGATAGGTGATAGATACCTGGAAAAATGTTGTTGTTGTTGATTTCTGTCGAGTCAAGCACGACTCACAGAGATCCTATGAACAAAAGGCCCGAAGCCTTTCTAAAACTATCGTCATTTATCAAAGTTCATAGAGCAAAATTATGAGAACAAAGTTCTGCTTCTACATACACTATACCTCCGGCCCATAGGAGCAAGTTAAAAAAGCAGCTTGGGCCTGATCTGAGCAGCAGGATACAGAGAGCAGGGCCTTGATCAGACATGGTCAAGGGAAATAAGTCTTGGAAGAAACATAACCAGAATATTCCTTGGAAATGAAGATGGTCAGACTTCATCTTATTTTGCACATCTCATAAGGAAAGATCAGATGCTGGAGAGGGAAATCATGTCTGGGGGCGTGTAAAGTTAACAAAAATGGGAACCACTCTGAAGGAGTAGCCTCAACAATGGGCTCAAACAAGTCAAAGACCACAGAAAGACACAGGCTGAGACAGTGTTTCATTCTGGTGTACATAAGGTTACCATGAGTTAACATGAACTTGACAATGCCTAATAACAAGGTAACACGTTGCCGCAAATGACAGCAAATGTGTTTCTAAGCACCATCATCAGTTTTAAAAAGTGTGTGGCAACGTGTTAAGGGAGCTCTGGTGGCTTATTGGTAGGGAATTGTGCTGTCAACACAAAGGTATAAGGTTCTAATCCACCAGCTGCTCTGTAGGATAAAGAAGGATGATCTCAAAAATGGCTTGCCTCTGGAAACTCTAAAAAAAAAAAAAAGGATGATCTCTTCCTGTGCAGTTTACTGCCTCTGAAAACCCACTGGAGAGTCAACTATGGGGCATTCTGACTTGATGGTATACAACAACAACAACAACAAGGGAAGTCTAGACAAAATTCTGAATGAGGCTTTCAACACTCAAGCATCAAAAGACGTTCCAATGGCAGACGACACCTAATGGCAAGTCTTCAGCATGCCTAGCTCTCTGAATACTCAGCTCCAGGATAGACTGTTGTCCTATATGGTGCCAGCTCTCAGTCTGGAATCGCCTCTCTCCCAGGGAGCTGCCCTTGTCTTGCCCTCGAATTAGATCTCCGGTTTGGTTTTTTGTGTGTTTTGGTGGCATTTGTCCTTCAGGGGCATCTCGAGAAAAGGGTGCACAGGAGGTACATTGGTTTTGGACCATGAGTCTGAAAACTTCTTTATTCTTCCATCCCACTTGACTGATCGTTTTGCTGGGCATTACATTCTCAGGAATGTTGAAGGTGTCGCTTTCTTGTCTTCTAGCTCCTACACTGGTTGTTGAGAAGTCTGAAGATATTCTGATTCCTGGTTCTTATTCTCTTTGGACATTAGAAATCATGTTGGATGTGTTTCCTAGTTGAAAGGACCCACCAGTATCCAACATACTGAATTCAATATTGGCTTATTTGTTGTTGTTGTTGGGTGCCATCGCGATGAATTCAACTTATAGTGACCCGATGAACAAAAGATCTGAATCCTGCTCTATTGGCTTATATAGTTTGGGCTTAATTAGTTGTTTGTTCACATTTTCTCATCATTTTGGAATTCCTTGTATTGAATATTGGTCCTCTGGGGCTGGTCATCTAGTTTTCTGTTTTTTTATCTGATTCATCATCTTGTCTTCCCCCCGCCCTGTATTTTCTGAGATAGTCCCTCATTTTTATCTCCCAACTTCTCCATTGTCCCTTTCTGCTATGTTTTTACATTACTGCTTTAATTTACTTTTTGTACCTATTGTTTTCTCATAGCTCTCTGGCGGCACATCAGTTAAATGTTTGGTTGCTAACTGCAACTGCAAGATCAGTAGTTTGAATCCACCACCTGTCCCATGATATGAAGATGGGGCAGTCTGCTTCCGTAAAGATTGCAGCTTTAGAAATGCTGTAGGGTAGTTCTACTTTGTCATATAGGGTCCCTTTGAGTAGCAATCAACTCCACGACAAGGAGTTCAAATTTGTTGTTGTGCTTTTTCCATAACATCCTGTTTTTGTTTCATGGGTATAATATCTTATCTCTCTCAAGCAACTGATAATTTTAGTGTTTCCTTTTGGAAGATTATGGCGCTCTGGTGGCACAGTGGTTAAGTGTTCAGCAGTGCATGATTCAAACCCACTAACTGCTGCACAGGAGAAAGATGTGGCAGTCTGGTTCCCTAGGGATTTACAGCTCTGGACACCTTTTAGGGCTGTTCCCCTCTGTCTTTGCAGGGTTACCACCATGAGTTGAATCTCCCTGATGGCAATGGGTTTGGTTTTGGTTTGAAATTTTTTATCTTCTTTCCTGAGGTCTCTCTCTTCCCTCCATGTAAACTGTGTTTAAGTTCTTTTTTCACATGTTAAAGGCTCTGAGAAGATGTCAGGCTGTCTGTTCCCTTAAGTGTATGGGAATGGCCTGGCAGCTCCGAGCACATGGAGGTGTGCCCCATTACAGAGGGTCTGAGGGAGTTGTGGTGGCTTTAGTCCATAGTCTTGTGCTGCTGACCATTGTAGGGGAAGCTGGATGAGTGGATTTTGGTTTTAAGCCCAATGTCAGTTTCAGGTCCTTTTCCAGTTTCTCATCTGGAGGATTTGTGTGCACATTTAGTTTTCTGGTTTGCAGTCCTGTTCTCAACTGTGTGTTTTACCCTCTCCAGGGACTTAACCCTTCATGCTTCTGCTGTGGGGGGTGGGGGTGGAGGGGGACGGGGCAGGGTGTGAGGGGATATGTGCTCAGAGGTAGACCAGATCTTTATTTCACCCTCCATTCCTCTGCCACCCCAGTGGCTCCTGAGCCTTCTAAGAATTCTGTGGTGGGAAATGGTTTGTGCTCAGTATGTCCTCAGGTTTTCCAGGTCTGCTAAGTCAGTTACCGCTCCTCTCCAGCTTCTCAGCTTCCGGCCCTCTCCTGTGTATGCGGGCTGCCTCAGTGAGAGCAGACTCCTGCTGGCCAGTAAGAGGCAGTGCTGGAGGCCCATTATCTCTTCCAGGAAATGACAGACAGGAAGAGGGCTGGTGCCAGGAGAAAGGGTGTCCTGCTTCTCTGCATGACTCTGCTTTCCAATTGTTTGTAGGTGCTGCCTCTGCTTCTTCACTTCTATTTCCTCTTCAACTCCAGCCTCTTGTTCTTATCATCAGCCACCACCCAGCCAAGCCCAGCACACCTCACTTGCTCTCAACAGTACACACGTCCATGGCCTCTTGCTCCAGGGCTCTTCTTTCACTTCTGAGAAGCTCCACCCCTGCTTCTTTTCTCTTCTAGCCCCAATCATTGCTCAGCTCAATGCTTAAGTCTCGTTTTGTCCCAGAGTCAGTCTGAGGCCTCCTTCCCATCCTACACTCCCTCAAGTGACTTTGTTTGCTCCCTTGACTCGCAATCCCCAGTTATATGCAGATGACATCCATTTTTGTCCCGAGCACAGGACTCTCTCACAAGATGCAGACCCATTGCCAGCTGTCTTCACTGTCTCTACTTGGAAGTCAGCAGGCATCTCACATTCCCAGGGGCCAGCTTTCCTGCCCACTGTATACTCTTACCTCCCTCATTTCCGTAAGTGACACTATCATTCACCTCCCATGGTACCTTTAATCTACCCCCATTCCCAGCCCATCTCAAAATCCTGTTAATGCAACCCTCATTCTGGATTCCTTTCTTCCTACACCCCATTTCTAACCCATCCCCCAAATCCTGCTGCTGCTACTACACCTCAGTCCACCCAGCTTGGTTCTCCACTTCTTTCCCCAAAGTCAAACCTCCATCATCTGGTCCCCTGGCTTCCTCCAGTAAGACAAAAAGCCAGTGATCACTGAAGACCCCGTGCTTCCTCATGCTACAACAGAGAGGAACCTTGAAAAGATCATGTCCAGTCAGTCCCATATACTGTGTGGTTGCACCTAGATGAAAGATGCAGATTTCTAGAAACCAAAGATGACTTGGAAAGGAAGCCTGTCACCGAGATGGAGTGGCCCAAGGTCTGCAAAAGTGGGCTTGAAGGGGAGCTCTGGTGGCCTAGTGGCAAGGAGCTGCAACTACAATCCCAGAGGCGAACGGTTCGAATCCACCAGATGCTCTGCCGGGGAAGGAGGGACAATCTCCTCCTGTACCAGTCAGATCTGATTTGACGGTACACTCACACAAAAATAATAAAATAAAATTTTAAAAAAGTGGGCTTGAGCAGAGTGGAGACTGAGGATGGTGAAGAATAAGAAAGGTTTCGATCTGTTGTACATGAGTCGGAATCTCGATGTCACCTAAGCACAAGGCTGTAAAAACAGGGCGATTCTGCTTAGTGGGCAATGAATTTCTGTTAATAGTGATGGAATAATATGAAAAAAGGTCAAGAATTGTCAGACAACTTGAAGAATATAATCGAAATCCCTGGTGTACACAAGTAGAAATTGTTGGTTATGTTTTGTTGTGTATATTTTTGCCAAAATAAAACAGAAACAAAAACCTCTGTGCCCCCCCGCCCCGTTCATGAGCCAACTTGCCCGTCTCTGACCATGTTGTTCTCTCACAACATCCCTGTCACTGGTGGTCTTTAAGTCTCCCCTCCCCCCTGAAAACTACCCTAGGTCCCACCTGGGCCTTTGGCTTCAGGGGATAACTCGGATGATCACTCAGGTCTCTCTGTGAATGTCAACACAGAGACAGCCATTGAGAGCCACCTATCTTGTCCATCATCCGTGGTCCCTGTCCACCACCTCCCTTGCTGTATTTCTTCCCAACGCTTGACCTGTCTCCTGCTGAGACAGAAAGCTGAGAACAGAGCTCCAGCCTCTTGCCAGTTACGACAGCGCCTCTCCCTGGCAAACTGCTGGACCTCTCAAATTACTTGACCAAATGAAGTGCTAGACAGGCCCTCAAGTGTTTGCTTAAGTTTGATTTTTACACCGTGTGAGTGTCAAGACATGCAGTGGACTGGCCTGCTGCATCCACAATGCCCAGTAACTGGCTTTCTCTGACACAGGTTTCAAGCACCAGTTGATGAACCATCAGAGAATCTACAAAACGTATATGAAGATGGCGTGAATGGTGAGCTCCAGGCCAGGTAAATCAAGGCCTTCCAGCTGATAGTGGGCAATCAATTTCATTTCAGGGATGAGGAAGGTAGCAAAAAACGTGGGTTTTATTTTTCCATTTCTGGTCCCAGCTCGCCACTGACGAGCTCAGTAACTCTGACTACACCTCCATTTGTGAAATAAAGGGCAGGGGCCTTCTTAATCTGGACAAGAGACTGTAAATGTGTAGAAGATAGATGCGACTTTAGTAGAAATGGCCAACGTTTTATGAGAGCAATGACTAACATCTGCACTGCTCAGGCATTGCTAACCACTGCTGCCTGGCTCACGGGTAGTGACAGCAGCTGTTTCCAATCCGCTTAAACCAGACAAAGTGTCTGAGGGCTGTTTCTGGGTGTGTGAGAACATAATTATTCATCAGATCCAGGGTTTGCCAGAATACTTACTTGCCAGAGGAAAGGAGACTGTAACAGATACAGTCACTGACACATAAGCAGGCTGATCTTTTAGGGTTGCACTCTCAGTTAAACGTGTTCATCGAGGGATGGAGAACGGGACTGTAGAATGAGAGCTGCAAGAGACTAGATGGCATGGGGCAGCTTGAGAAACTGTCTGGGGTTACGAGAGGGTTGGGGACAGAGCAAGAACGAGTTGCATCCTCCCCAGTATGGCGGCCCTTTAGCTTAAGTGCATAGTTCAAAGTCTGATGTTGCCAGGAACCTAAATGTGCTAGTGTTTTGGCATCTGAACACCGGCTCCTACGTGAAGGTAGGGAACGGTTCTATGACAGAAATGAAAGCGGAATCCTGTCCTTGATGACATTTCTGGTTCTGGGAGTATGGCCACCTACTGGTACCTTCTAGAAGGGCTTCCCATTCCACAAGCCATGGCCCATGAGGACCAGAGCTCAGGGATGCAGTGGAATGGGGACAGTGGAGTGCACCAGTTCATGTTCTATACTGTTCCTTTAGTCATGATCCTGTGAGTGCTACTGAAAAGAGAGAGAAGACGTCTGAGCCCAAGGGAAGCAGCCTCACAGAGGATCTCCTGCTGAAAACGAAAGATCACTACAGACCGAAACACAAGAATGGGGGTGATGAGTCCTAACGAAAGGAGAACCCAGCTTAGCCAGTGGGGCAGGGCCCAGGATGTTGGGGTCTTTTACACCATGCTCCTACACCAAGACCAGAGCATTTTAAAAACACCTTCTTCCTTTAATGGTTCTGTCTTTAAAGGGTAATAATGACTCAACAGTCAAACCCATGTCTGATCCTACCTTCAGATTCTTGGACTTGGATTAAGTCTAGCTTTTCTGTGTGAGCACAGGACACACAATCTTGCCCTGATCACAGGGACCTTGGCATGGTGCCTCCCAAACCAACTGGAGAAATGTCAGAAGGGTGAACATCTACATAAAACCAAAGGCGTCACACCCACCTCACCATATTGTGAGACTGTCATCCGTGTAAGAAAGTGTCTTGTGAATGAATGGTCCAATGGAAAAACAATTTGCACTGTAAACTTTCATATCACAAGAGCGGGGAGCTGCAACAATCAACTCTACAAGACCAAAAGGTCAGTATTTTCCCAGGGAGAAAGCTCAGAAGGGAGAAGGGATGGGAGAGAAAGGAAAACCAGAAACCCAGGAAGTAGCTAGCATGTTGTTTCAATATAGGGACTGCAGTCAATGCCATGTAATGCTATTGTTATGTGCTGTCAAGTCGCCTGCGACTCATAGCAACCCTAGGCACAAGAGTCCTGTCCTATCCTGAGCTAGTCTCACTGACTCCGACACACCTACCCCCATTACCATCTCATCCAGGGTCTTTTCTCTCCTTCGCTGTCCCTCCACCCTTCCAAGCATGATGTCTTTCTCCAAGGAGTGGCCCCTCTTGGCAACAGGCCCAAAGCATGTGAGACAGCTTTAAAATTCTTGCCCACTCCAGAACAGACCTGTTTGTTCTCTTGGCAGTCCATGGTATGCTAATCATTCTTCTCCAGCATCACAATTAAAAGGCATCAATAATTCTGTCATCCTTAGTCATTGTCTTGTGTAAGAAATGTTGAGTGGAAAATCAATTTGCACTGTAAACTTTCATTCAAATCCATATAATTTTTTTTGGGAAAAAAAAAAGGAGGGGTGGGGAAACCACCACACTAAACTTAAAAGTCAGCATATTTACCCAGAGATAGAGTTCCAGAAGCAAGAACGGGCAAGAAAGGACAAATGAGAACAGGAAACCCAGGGGTAAAGTGGGAAGAGTGCTGTTTCACTACAGTGATTGTAATCAGTATCACATTATCGTGCAATAGTAATTATTGAATGGAAAAATCAATCTGCTCTACGAACTTCCACTCAAATCACAATCAAGTTTTAAATAAAACTGAAGGCATCTTCTAAACACTCATCCAGCCAGCTTCGACTTAATGTGTTTGGGTACTGGGTCTCAGGGAGGACAGGTGGGTGGGTCATCAGGTCTGACAGGCTTTCAGATGCCGGGACTCCCCTGCTGTGTAACACCTGGCCAGCCTGAGGATTCCAGTTTCTCTTGAATTGCAGCCCTACCTATTATACACCTGGAAAGTTCCACCCAATGGTCTGATGGATGCAGCAAAAGGGAAAAGCAGCTCCCTTTACGGCTGAGTTCAGAAAGCAAGGGAGAGGCACCCTAGCCAGAGTGCTCGGCAGAAGCCGGCTGAGAATCCCATCTCGGCTACTTCTGCTGGTTAAATCAAAGATGACTTCAGCACCAGCCTTACCTAGTAATTTTTCATATTCTCCATTCCCACACCCTTAAGTGAGAGGCTATAGGAGCCCTGGTGGCCTAGTGGGTGATGCCAACCCAAAGGCATATGGTTTGAATCTACGAGTTGCTCTGAGGGAGAAAGATGAGCACTCTCCTCCCATGCTATTTACAGCTTCTTAAAACCTGGAGGGTCAGCAGAGTTGATTCTGACTCAACAGCATATAACAAGAACTTAATCGCTATTAAAAACCTGCATGACTTAAAACTTGTTTGAGAGGCAAAAAAAGATGCCCATGTGGTCACATTTTGAGCATATTCAGCTTCATTCAGTAGCTCAAACAGCAACTGATTTCTGAACTGGGGACTCCCCAGAGTTCCCCACGTCAGCATCCTACACCTCCATATCCTCAACTGCACTTGAATCAATTTTAACTCATGGCAACCCCAGGTATCAGAGTAGAGCTAAGCTCCAAAGGGTTTTTAGTGCCCAACTTTTTGGGAAATAGGACACCAGGTCTTTCCTCCAAAGCACTTCTGGGTGGGTCTGAATCTCTAACCTTTAGTTTGGCAGCCAAACACTTAACCATTAAACTAGGGCATCCAGTGCCTTTGTACCTGCTAATTCTGAGACACTGAAGATCCCATTCCAAAGCATTGTAGGCTTCTGCAGTAGCCTAAAGGGGAGGAGGGATGGATCTTCACACACTGTTAACTATAGCAATTAAAAGGAATAATACACCCACCTGGTTTATGTTGTCAGCTCTGGATACCCCTTCCTCCAAAGTTCCTACTACCTCCACACACAATCACACTATCATTCGTCATGAAGTCAAGTATAGTTTTATTGAAGAACTGGAAATAATCAGAATCTGAAAGGAAATCCAATTTAAAGTACTTAAATAAACATTTCTGTATGTAAAAAGAGTAGAATAATTACTCTGAGTTACTCTCCTTGCTGTAGGGCGGGTGTCCATGAGAGCCAGTGCTTTGGGACCCGTCAGGATGGTGGGACCCTCACACCTCACAAGGCGCCAAGCCTTTCCAAGCAGGGGACACAGAGCATTTCCCACTGTAATGGAGATGCTGACGTCTCCACACGCTGCTGACCACTCTATGAAAGCAAAAATACGGCAGGAGATTCCCAACTATCTAAGGCAGTAAAGAAAGTGCAGAGGGACCGTGACTAAACCTGATAGACAAGGACTGCTCCCAGCGTGAGGTCAAGACCTCATGAAGCCTAAAATGTCAGACGACTTACTGGCTTAAGACTATTTTCCCCTATTGTGTCAATCACTCAAGACCATAAGTAGAAAGGCTTGATAACATCTGCTTTTTCCCAGCCCTGCTTGAAGCAGCCTTCCCCTGGGGAGCAGTGGAGAATGCGGCCTTCTGCTTTCTGTCCAGGTGAAGACTCTCCACCTCTTTTCCAATCTGCCTGACTCAGCCACAGCCTCTTCTTCCTCACAAGACCACCTCCCGTCCGCTGGTTCAAAGGAGCTGTGATACACTTTTCCCAGCTAAGAATCCCTACCTTCAACCTGTGGTAACAGCAATCTCCTGACAGCATTTGGGAGACTGGCAATGTGGCTTTCAGTGTGAACACTCGGAGAGCCGTGACTTCATTAACCTGACTGCCCTGTCGTCAGCTTTTATAAAGACCATGAAGATGGCAGGTACGGATGAAATCGATCATCTGCCAACCCTACCCTTTCAACAGTTCATTTTTTACCACAAAGACGTTGCTGACTTCTGCCCAGGGACTACAAGAGAGGGTTCTCACACAGACCATGGATCCATTTTTTAAGAGCATAGTGGAGGCCTGACAGCAGCATTTCACACCAGAATCACCAAGTCCTACCTCTTGCAGGCTCTCTGACCTGACAGGAATGTCTGGACTCTAGCATATTAAAGCAGGCACAGATCACTAAATGCTGACCCGTCCCGCCTCCCTGTCATCAATGGTTCCAAAACCCAAATCCAGTGCTGTGAGTGACTCAGGGCAAACCTCCACTGGGTTTCGGAGGCGATCAATCTTTATGGAAAGAGACTACCCATCTTTCTTCTTCAGAATAGCAGACAGATTCGAACTACTGATTAAAAGCCTAACATTTAACACTCTTTGCCACCAGAGTTCCCATCACTGGCCTCCTATCTAACAGAAAGGCAGCTTCTTGGCCCTCAGTGGGAAGAAAGTCTGGGTCCCACCTTGCCAGATATACTAAGCCAAGCCTTTCCTTCAAAGAGCTGGGGTAGTTGCCAGGAAGCCAATGGTTCCCCCTGACCTTGCAAATCCTACCATGTAGACTGGTTTGGAGAGCAAGTGTGGGACCATTTCAACAATTCAAGGCCTCAGAGGAGGTGTATATTCTTGTTCTAGTGGGGAACATCCACTCCAAAGACACACATGGCTGATGGCTCCCACAAAGGCCTCACCCAGAACCTGACCAGCGTCCACTCTGGCTCATTCTCAGGTTAACCAGCATTGTCTCACACCAGCAATCAACACACCTGTAAACCTCTTTGGTCTGTGTAATAAGAAAATTAAGCAAGCAAGGACATCTAGGAATAAGAATTATTCTATTCTGAGTTGGTAGAATTCTTTTGCACATACATTTTAGGTGTCTGGTACAGTCAACTGAATGTCTCTGTATGTAGTTTCCATGTCCTTTTATATGGTATAGATTACGCCTACACAACTTGTCTCTTCTAAGTATGAAAAACGTTTTGACATTGTTCTTCTAAGATCCTCACAACACCCCTGTGAGGTAGGTGGTATTGACCCCATTTTACAGATGGGGAAATCTAGGCACAGAAAGGTAAAGTGGCTCCTCGCCGGCCTCGTGGCGTGACGTGGGGGCCGCGCCGCCTTCACATTCAGACTTCATCGGTGCCACTGCAAAACTGAACGGGAAGGTTTCACACCGAGACCTGGTTCCGAACCCACTCCAGAACCAAACAAGTTTTTCACCTCTTAAAGCTTAATAATGTCTGACTCATAAAGCCAACTACTCTCTCTCCAAACTTGGGGGAGGGGGGAGAATACTGACTGAAGCGGGGTTTCTTGCTTAAGATTCTTTTCTTTTCACGAGTTGGTGTGCTTGAACGTTACTTGTACTCACTCAAACCCCTAGGGAAAAGGACTGGTTGAAAAGGCATTAGGAACCACGGGATGTTGAGAACCAGATATGGGATAACACAGTTAAGAGATTTAAAGCGAATCACAATTTCCTAAGTGATGGTCAAAATAAGAAAATCCCAAACAGAGCAGCATTTCTCAATTTTTCAAGACACCCTGTGCCAAGCTGGCACTCTAAGCCCTTGTTGGCTGAAGATAAAGGACACATCTTCGACACACCTGTCGCTGATAACCAGTCCTCCTTGGAGAAGAGCAGAAGATCCTGGAAGAGCCCAAGGGGATGGGGGGACCCCCCCCCCCACTGTGGCAGATGCCACTAACGTGTGACCCAAAACCACCCTGGGCCAGGGCATCTGGAGGTGTCTATGCATACTTGCTGACAAGTGAAACTAGTCGCTGTGAACCTGAAAGGGGCCTCCTTGGAAGCGGCATTCTTAGAAAAAAATAGATATGTAAATACGGTTAAATATGGGACTAGCCAAAGCGTCTTAGAAGGAAATCTCTTGAGAAGTGTATAGGTGCTCATGCATTTGAGGGTGGAAATCAAGAGGTTTAAAGCTGTGCTGTGTTGGGATTTCCTGTTAAATGAAAGGGGCTGAACGCATCTCTAATGCTAATAAGCTGGGTGCCCGCTTTCTGCTGCAGAAGCTTGGCTGAGAGCAGTGGCTCATCTCTCCCGGGGAGTCTCTGTCCTCTTGTGGACACATCCGCCTGGGGGCAGTGAAGGGCCGCTGTATTGCTGTTGTCAGCACCTCGCTGGCCTCTCGTTTATCTGTGTGACCTCGACCCAGCGTATCAAAGCGAATCGCTTTGTGGGTCCTCTGGTCCTAAGGCCTTCTGACCGTTTGGTCTCGCGTGACATTGCAGAAGAGTAACTGGTAACATATAAAATGATTAAGGAAGTTCCTGGAGGGGGACCAGCCTGGGCCCGTCAGAGCTCCACCTTGACACCTTTGATGAAAGGCAGGCCCGTGGGTACCCTCTTCTTGTACTCCAGGTACTCTTCTCCGAAAAAGTGGATCAGGGAGATCTCTTCCTCTTCGGTTCGGTCTCGGAAAAACCTCCAGACAGTCAAGGCGTAGGCCACCCCGCAGATTGGGTTACAGAGCATCACCTGGGGAGGGGACAGAGATGAAGTGGTCAGTGTGGACCATCCCTCTCCCACCCCGACAGGATGCCTGGGACAGGACTCTCAGCTACACTGGCAGGGTCTTTGGAGGCAGGATCCCGTGGTCACTCGCTCACTGCTGCTTCTGCACGGTGGAGCTCAAGCACACCAGAGAGGTTTACTTTCAGTCTGTCCTCTTCTTACCTGAGCAGGAACTGTCAAACAACAGGGTAGCCTAGCTTCCTGGATTTCAACACTCAGGTCAGGGAGACAGCAGCTCCTCCTCCCACCTCCGGAAGTGTGACAAGTGTCAAGGCCTCAATCCGGAGCTCCTGCACACATTTCCTGCTGTCCTGGCCCCTCACCTCTTTCCTCTGTGCTAGATACACTGCATGCTGCTATTCAATGGAGCGTCTTGACAATACCTTTATCAGATCACCACCCCACCCAGGAAGCTCGAATGCCTCACCCTGCGTGCGCCTGCCCTGCACCCAAGGACTTGGCCCTGGCCCTCGTCCACAGTGTCCAGCCCTTATCTCTTCCACTCATGTGGTTCTTCCCACCTTTTGAGAATATTTCCCCCAGGGATCCACAGCTTAACAGCCCTTCAAAGCCAAAACATCCCCAGCTCCTGGAGGCTCCCCCTTAACCACCTGCCTACTCCCTAACCCCAGAGGCCCCAGGGCAAGCGTCTATTTGCCCAGGTAAGCCACTAGCACCTACACACCCTCCACCTCTCGTTCTCGGCCACCAGCGTCCCAGTGTTTGCTGTGTTTCCAGCACCAGGCAGAGCCCTTCCCATCATTCCCATCAGCTAACTCCCATCACTGAGCCCTGAAACCCGGCAGATCAGGAAGAGCAATACCAGTGACATGAAATAGAAAATACACACACACACACACACACACAGAGAGAGAGAGGGGGGGGGGGGGGGGGGGGGGGAGAGGGGTGTCCTGGGTCACAATCTGAAAATGCCCATGACTGAAAAAGTATGGGAACTTTCCAGCGCTCAAGCATCTGAGTGGACTGGATATTAATGAGTGAGTGGATATTAATGACACATGCCACTAGTCAACAGAAATCAGTCTGTTCCCTGGGACCAGGATTATGATAAATTGCCTCATTCCAGAAAGACAAGTTTTTTAAATCGTCCCTCTCGTGGCACAATTTGGAGAAGGATGGTGAGGAAGGTCACACAACCTGATGGATGTAACCAAAGCAACCGAGCTGTCCGGGAGAAGTGGCAGACATGGTAGATGGCTGGGTCTATTTTCACAAACAAAGTTAAAAAAAAAAAAAAAGCAAAGCCCAACCTCCCTAAATATCTGAGTCTGGTGGTGCAGCGAATGAAGTAGGGAGCTGTTGACGAAAAGATCAGCAGGAAAAAATGAGACAGTCTGCTCCTATAAAGAGGAACACTGGGCACTTCTACTCTGTCCTCAAGGATCCTACGAGCCAGAATGGACTTGACAGGAGGTGGTACAGCAGAGCATCCTCTCTTTGCTGGCATGTACCTCTGTTCTATAATAAACGATATTTTTCTTTTCCTGTTAAAAAATATAAACTTAAAAAGTAGATGTAACTTTGTTCAAGCAATCATGGGCTAGCACTACTTTCTTGGTTCAGGTATTCTGCAATAATACCTTTGCAAAGTATTTTTTCTGTGCACACTTCAGGAGCACATATACTAAAATTGGAATGATACAGAGAAGATTAGCATGGCCCTTCACGCAAAGTATTTTTTCCTAATAAATCTCTTTCTTAGCTTGCATAGGAAAAAAAATGAAAAAGTCAAGTCACCCACACACACACTCTTGCTCCCTCATCCTCTAACCCTTGGGGACCACCAGAGGGTCCTGCCTGGCTGTGTACTGCCAGTAGGAGACCCAGGTGCTCTGTCTTCATTTCCCCAAAGCAGTGAGAAGCTGTCCATATTCTATTCATGTTCTCGGGCCAAGAGTACAGAGTTGAGAGACAACTGTTAGGAAACAAAGGTTTGGTCTGCAGTCAGAGACAGAACGCAGTAATGAGGTCACCTAAAGCTCGTAAACGCCCTTGGCCTCATTAACATCTTGCTTGAGTAGAAAGCGCCTGAGAAGACAGCAGACGGGGCCATATCACCTAGAATCACCAAGCGCTTACGAGTCTGGGACATCCCCTGGGTACAGAGTGAAAACATTCATGACTAAATCAGTTTCCCAAGCTCTTTGCTTATCACTTCAAACATGTTTCAAAATGAACAGGGACAGACATCCTTGGGACTATCCAAAAACCACTCAAATGTACCGTTTAAAAGTGTCTTGTATATGAATTCTATAAAAAAAAAAACAACCACCCCCCAAAAGACGGGGGCCCAGTTTCACACGGGACACTCTACCTGAGTCCCAATACTCCAGTAGAACCAGCCAACGTAAGAAGGGTGCCGGAACCAGGCATACACCTCACTTGTCACCAGAGTGTGGGTGTCCGACTTCTCATTCTGCACTACGTGGTTGAAGTTGGAGCCCGCTGTAAACATGGCCGCTTTCCTCAGGCACTCGCCAAAAACCACCATCAGCAGCCCGGTGGTGCTCAGCCAGGTGATCTGCTTCAGCTCTGTGGGACAAAGAGACATCAGTGACCGAAGGGAAACTTGGGGCCTCCTCCTTGCAGCTGAAAAGGAACCTATTTCTCCCAGGATGGAAATACTACAAACTGTGCTAGTGGGCAATAAGCATTTGCCATCACATTAACATTTCATTACGTGCAGAGTCGTGTCCCCAAAGGCCTGCTTCAAAGTGGCGGCAGCCCCATTAAGAGCATCAACACAGAGGCCTTCCTCTCCTCCGGAGCTGGGCTCTGGTTCACGTCCCCATGCCGTACACAGTGTTCTTGGCTTGGGGACCACAGGCATAGTTAGGTGAAACAGAGAACTGCTAAGCATAAAGATTAGTAGTTGGAACCTATTCAGAGGGCACCACAGAAGAAAGGCCTGGTGATGTGTTTCCAAAAAGATCTCAAGGTTGCTGTTGTTAGGACCTGTCAAGTCAGTTTCTGAGTCATAGAGACCACTGTGTCTGAGTAGAATTACCCTAAAAGCTGACTGTTTAAGTAATCCTCAGAGTATTCCAGTGTAGTAATCTTTACAGATCACTAGATCTCTCTCCTCAGAGTTACTGAGGACAAAGGATATATTCAGGGTATATTCAAATACCAACATTCTAGTAAGCAACTGGGTACTTAGCCTTATGCCGCCAATGTTCTTCTATAAAGGCTGCAACTAAGAGAACTCTGCAGATCACTCTGCTATTTTGTAGCACATGAGATCATCCTGGGTTGGAAATGACATCAAGGCAACGTGCTTGGATTTCTGTTTGGGAGCCACACATAGTTTCTCTCATTTACTGTGAGAAGTCTAATTTCAGAGTATGCCCCACAGGCAGAGTCTTACTGCTGATAAAACCTTCCCATAAAATTTAAGACACACACACAAACCAACCACACTCCCAAATCCAGCTGCCAATTCGGACTCATAGCAACCTCGTAGGACAGAGGAGAACTATGCTTTAGGGCTCCCAAGGCTGTAATCTTTACAGAAGGTGGACCTTTATCCAGTGGAGCAGCTGGTGAATTCAAACCACAATCTTTCGGTCAGCAGTCAACCAACCACTGAGACTTTACCAGGGATCCTTGCTCAAGCCACGGAAAAGGAACATTTTGTAAGCAGGGGAAAAAAAAAATCTTTGATGATTATTACAAAGGGATGTGAGGGAACGTAAAGTCAGTAATTAGGTAACAGATATATAGTAAGGTGCGTGAATGGAAAGTTCATATAAAATAAAGACAGCATCACATCACTAACAGATCACTATATTCACAACCTTTAACTATCCATGCAGTAGTAATAGGAGTAGTTGTTGATTGCCATCAAGTCAAGCACGACTCATCACGACCCTGAGAGCAAAAGACCGGAAGCCTTTCTAAAACTATCTTCATTTCTCAAAGTTCACAGAGTTTCCAGAGGCATGTTGTTTAGAAAGTGGACGCCACTCCTGCTTCCAGAAAATACCTATCATAACAGATATTAACCTACAAGTGGATACACGGGCAGAGAGAAGATAAAGAGACACGGGTGAGGGTGAATGGGACTACATCTGTGAACAAGCACACGTCTGGAAAACAATACTTCACATGAGCATATGTATGTGCTGTAAATATACCCAAGTAGACAGTAGAGACAACAGGAAGCAAAATTAGGTACACTTTTAACCAAAACCAAACACCCTGAAGGGATGGTTATGGGTCCTCAGGACCACTGTCGCAGGGGACATCAAGGTCAAAAGCAAAAACCAGAAAACAAGACACATTGGAGGGTGTTCCACATTACAGGAAGTTTGAAGTAGGAGGTCAGCAAGCCCTCATTTCAGAACGCAGAAGCAGCATCACCAGGCCAGGCTCATCCTCCATAATTGGCTTAGTGAGGACTGAGGTCTGGAGGGGAACCACTCACAGGGATTAGGCCCGAGAACTGACCCAATGTCACTGCCTTGGCTTTCACGGAAGCCACCGTCCTCCTCTCTGGAGGAGAAAGGAGGGCACACTAACCTGGCCAGAAGATATTTTCAAGTGTGAACTCGATCCAAGAAGAAAGGGCTGCTACAGTGTACTCCAGACTGTGGTTCAGGAGAAAGGAGTCCAAGGACAGACTTTTGGGATTGTTGACCGCTGTCACTAGGTATTCAGAATAGTGGAATAACGACAGGGAGCACATGTACCTGTAGGAAAACAAAAAGAGCGAGCGGTGAATCGGGGCCAGGGAAATCACGCTAGCCATAAAAAGGGGCACAGATTAGAGCCTGCTAACTATCCCTGAATTCTATAATGAAATACCTGTTGTCCCTGCCTAGAGAAGCCATCAGGTGCCTACATGTAGCATTACAACTTTAGGTTTACAGAGCAAGGTTTTAAAGGGATGGTTATTTTTGCGAGTCACCAGCCAAAAAAAAAAAAATCAAAGTCCACAACAACCAGGTTGTGAAAGCAGCATGGTGCCTTCAGCTCTATTAAAATGACAACACACACCAAACCCAAATGAGGGAAACAGGAAAACAGTGTTCAATAAGTCAACAAAACCAGATACATTCTAGCAAAGGATTAGAAGGCTCAGAATATGGCTAATAGGAGATGAAGCTTTTTATCATATTCAGGTCAGGGACCAGCAGACTCAAGGGACTGGAATCATAGTACAGGGGGGAATTCTACATTGTCTGTGGGAGCTATCTGAAATGTGAACTATGGGAACTAGACACCGAAAAGGTCTATAAACACAAGCTGGAGCCTTGGCCCTATCTGTCACTAAGACTCTGTGTTCTCTTCCGGAAAGGGCTTGCCACCTCTCTGAATGCTGTTCCAGTAGCTACAGTGCAGATGAGGGCACTTTTTCAGGAGTGTGCCAGGGAGGCCGTCTGCCTGCGACAGAAACAGGAAATCACAAGGTCCAAGATGTGGGAATTGAGGCAGAATTCAGTGACCTCGTTTCCACAGACCCTTCAACTGTCCTCAGCCCATCAAAGCTGAGCTGTGGGGAGACGGATGAGCGGCTGCTGACCCTCCGATCCGGCCACCCTCTCCTCAAAACCGTGATTCCAAAAGTACTTCTTACCAGCCAAAGTGATTCCAAGAAGACTGGCTAAAACTTAGCAGCATGCCGCAGCCAAAGACAAAACCAAGGAAACATGCTCGAATGGCTATCTGAAATAGACCCAAAAGAGCTCAGTCACCCGGCCGTTCTGAGAGCGCAAAACCAGGCTGCGGGCTTTCCTGGGGTAAGGGCCACTCATAGTCACAGGAGAGCAATGCAGAAGTTCAAATGATGGGTTTAAATCCCATCAGCACCCCTAGCTGACTTTGTGGTCAAGTTACTTAACTTCTCTGGATCCCAGTTCCCCTTTCCACAAACTAGGGATAATTAACAATACCTACCTCTTTGGACGGCAAAGCACTTAGAAGTGCTACATAAGTTTTACCTGACATTACTATCACTACTGTTATTACTATTATTCAAGGCTAGGGGACATAGATCCCAGATATGCAGATTACTGGCAGGATTTCCCCAAATTCCTGGCCTTGACCTCTGCCTTGGCAGCAGATAAGGCTCCACACCTTAAATTACCTACAAGAGTGGAGAGGTTCCCTCCTACCTACCCTAGAGCTGTGCAATGGCATGAACTGCATTTCAACACCCACTTTGCCAGGTGAAGGGCCCCCCTCCGCCACTGAACGCCCCCAGAGTTCTGCTAGGCGGGGGTCCCTGGTCCCACCCGAACCGGCGGCTCACTCCTGGGAAGACCACCCTCTTCGCACTGGCGGCCCTGGCCCTGGGAAAGGAAGTGCGGGGTCCCTGCCGCGGCTCACCACCCGCCCGGTTCGGCTCCCACCTGGTAGCGCGGCGGCCGGTAGAGCAGCAGGAGCAGCGCGTTAAGCCCGGCCACGTAGAGCGCCAGCCCGGTGCGGCCCTGCAGGCCGGCGCGCGTGAGCAGCGGCAGCGCGATCACCGAGGCTCCCAGCAGGAAGGTGGCGAGGCTGAGGCGCGCCTCCGAGCCCGGCGGAGCCCGCGCCATGCAGCCCGCCATGGCGCAGGGTGGCGGACGAGCAGGCGGCGGCGGCGGCTGTAGCCCGGGGAAACCCGCCAGCCGCGCCTGCGCACTGCACCGCCGAAGCCGCGCCGGGAAGGGCAACCTGCCCTCAGCTTTGCGCGGCTGGTAGTTCTCGCGAGAACGTCGCCCCGCGGGGTAGACTGGCCCGAATTTGGCGGGAGCGCCCCGCCCCGTTCCGCCTTGCCCCTCCCCGCCGCTTCTCTTCTCGGGGCAGGTGACCCGGGTGGAGCTATGGGGGCCAAGGGGCGCGGGGGTGACCACTGACTCCCTCGACAAGTTTGTCCCAAACTCAAAAATGTTCTTGCCCGAAGAAATAATTCTGAGACGACCCCACACGGGGTCCAGCCTTGCATCGCCCACCACTCCCCTACCCTGATCCCAAACCCTGACATCCTTCCAAGAGCGGGCACGAACAAGGAGAATTCCTTTCCCTAGAGTCAGAGGATCAGGCCCTCCGTCCACCGAACTCCGTGGGCGTCCTTAGAAGCCACCTAAATACTCCATATTCTCAAGTTTCCAGACGAGGGGAGATGAATTAAATGCGTGTGCAAAGAGAATAGGTTTAAGTTTCCCAGATTCAAAGCTTTGCAGTAAATTTGTCTCCTGAAACAAGGGTTGAAATAAATGAGGCAAAGTTTCAGACTACAGGAGGCTGGGCGAGTTCTACTGTCTATGTTCCATATTACACAAATGAGCGCGTATGTTTTGCAATCAGAAACTGCTCTTAGTTTTCGTAAATGGTAAATGTTCCCTCCACGGGAAGTCACAGAAAAGTGGTGAAGGAGAAGTCAAGTAAACAGATCATAAACTTGTGGGAGGATGCTGAGAACATCAGAAGGGTGGAGGGGAGAGGCCATCCTGCAGAAAGTGGTGGGCCAAGGAGGCTGCAGAGAAGAGTCAGCCTTGGGGCCCACAGGATGCTGCCTGGCCGCCCCTGGAAATGAGAGCAAGGGCATTTACACGGAGGGAGGGCAGCATTCTCACCAGCACAGGCAGAAGGGAACAAGCCTGAAGCAGTATAGGGGACAGGCCTCGGGGGAAGGCGGAAGGCGTCTGGGCAGCCGGGCTTGAGGACTAATGGAGAGCCTGACTGGCATCCCAAGACCCCACGGTCCTGTAGCCTCATTTTGTGACCTTGGGCAAATCCTATGAACCTCAATTCCTGTCAAATGGGGTCTCAATCTGACTGTCATGTAATGATATACGTCCATAATGTACAGTAAAGACTTTCCTTAGTCTACAGTATTTCTACAAAGTTACTTACTGCTTGCTGTGGGGTCCATTCTGATGCACGGCAAAGCTCCATAGTTTCCAAGGCTGTGCCTGGGAGGGGACTGTCCACCTTGCTCCTGAAGAGCTGGTGGATTCGAACCACTAGATATGCCTTTGGGTTAGCAGTGTCACTACTCCAGAGCTCCACTTCTGGATAGCCCCAAAATATCAAAATCAAGTCTCTTGTTGTTGAGTAGATTCCAGATCATGTTAAAGGGTAGAATTGCCTCGTAGAATTTTCTTAGCTGTGATCTAAGCAGAAGTACATCCTGAGTGGTCCCTCCAACCTATAGCTTCGTAAGCCCAGTGCAAACCATGTCTAAATGGTGCTCAGAAAACATTTCCTAAACTCAGGTGGTTGTGGTGATTGTAAGGTGCCCTCAAATTACTCATAGCGACCCTGTGAACAACAGGTCTGGCCCTGTCCTATCCTGTGCCATCCTTATCACCTCTGACAAACTCGAGCCTATTGTGCTGCAGTCACTGTGTCTGTCCATTTTGTTAAGCCTCTTCCCCTCTTGGTCGACCCTACACTTTTCCAAGGACTAGCTTTTCTGGTAATAGATATTAAAAAGAAATTTAATACTTTAAACCCCAAAGTCACTCAGTTGTAGCTCCTCATGTAAAGGAGGCATGAGCATTCCTGGGGCTTGAGTAGATGGAGCTCTTGGCCCCAGCCCTAGTTTGCAAAGGTTTCCAATCAAGATCCTGGAAGAATGTACCCGGATGCCTTGAAGCCACTAGAGGGCTCTCACTGCATCTTCACTGCTGGGAAGTTAACCTGGTTCTGGCATCTGAAGCCACTCCCTCCCTGAAGTTCCCCCCATGTTTACTGGCATTTGCCATCTACACTCTCTTTCTGGCCTTTATGTGTCCTCCTGTCACTGTCCTGGAAGCAAACAATAGCACACCATTCAGGCCAGAGAACTCAAACCTATGCAGCCCCTCTCTTCACCTCCATCTTCATCAATTCCATCTTGAAGAATGAAGGAAAACAGGGGAGACAATCTCCTCCCAGGCAGTGACAGATGTAGGGAAGGGGTAACTTTTTAAGTCACTAGTCTGCTAGGATTTTCAGTCCCCAGGGCCACATCCAGAGAAACACAGGCACTCAGAAACACAAAATAACATAGTCATTCACACAGGTTTTGAAATCTGATCAGGCAAATCGAATATGCTCCAGGCTGTCCACAGGGCAAAGTATAAGGCTTGAAGGGTGGCAAACACACAAAAATACAAGAAAATAAAGAAAAACTACTCGACCCAAGAAAATGCCTCATTGTATTCCCTTTCCTTGTAAATAAGCATTTGAATGTGTTTTGTTCTAAGAGCTGGGAAGCCAGGACAAAGGAAGCCCTTTCTCATGCAGGAACCCTTTGCAGTTCCCCTCCACACCCCTCCCCTCCAGTCTACGTGCCATCCGACCCCGGGTGAGGTAGCCTTTCTTCCAGGGCCCATGTGAGGACCCCTCCTGTTTTAAAGGGTGCTAAGAACCTCCTTGTAACATATGCAAAATCACAGGCAGAGAATAAATGAATCTACCTTTTCTTGTCTTTCTTTTTTTATTATTTTTTTTTAAAGGAGGCTGCTCAGTGGTTTGAACCCACCTGCCTCTCTGTGGGAGAAAGATGTGGAAGTCGGTTTCCAAGATTTACAGCCTTGGAAACTCTATAGGGACAGTTCTATTTATGGGGTCACTCTGTAGAGTTAGAATTAGCTCAGTGGCAATGGATTGGGTTGTGTCCTCTCTGAGCCTGCCAACCCCCTCCCCACCTCCTTAGTTTTTGTTTTTCTTAATAAGTGCTCTGGTGACACAATGGTTTAGTATGTAGCCAGTAAGCAAAAGGGTGGCATTTTGAGCCACAAGAGAAAGATGCAGAGGTCTGCCTCTGTAAAGATTTAAACCTTAACTCTAGGGGACAATTGTACTCTGCCTTATAGTTAGAATTGACAAGACGACAACAGTTTGGTTTGGGGTTTTTAATGCAGTAGTTTTCCATTGAACAACAGTCCCTCGATAGTGAAAATGGTACACTTGCTAACTGCAAGATTGGAGATTCCAGTCCACTCAGGAGGCTGATGATCTACATCCAAAAAAAAAAAAAAATACATCAGGCGAGCTCTGGTAGCCTAGTGGTAGGAAACTGCACTGCAATCCCAGAGGCGCATGGTTCAAATCCACCAGATGCTCTGCTGAAGAAGGAGGAAAAATCACCTCCTGTACCAGTCAGATCCAATTAGATGGTACACACATAAAAAGAATAAATAAATAAAAATTTAAAAAAATACATCATTGAAAACTTTCGAAGCACAGTTCTATTCTGACTCATAGGTGGTTGGTTTCTCCAGTGAATAGGAAAGAATGTACGAAGTAGGGAGGCTCCCAACACCCAGGAAGTTACGCAAGGTTGAGCTTGTGCAGATGGAAAACCAAGCACACCGGCTTCCTAGGGCAATGGAAAGTTTGCTTTTAGTTCTAAGTGTTGTCCAAGCCCTTAGGGGAATGTTGGAGAGTTGATCTCTTTTTTAGACCCACAGACAGGTCTCTTTCCATATATCACTTGGAGTCTGAGAGGTGCAGTGGGGAAAGAGCTAGTGTCATGTGGCCACAATGCTCCCCAGTTCTTCTAAAAGTTTTCTACTTCTCTCCCATTGCCTCTGGCTGGAGGCAGGAAAGCGCCTCTCTCCAGTCAGTCTGGAAGTGGGTAAATGATGCGTAATTTATGAGTGCATCAGGCTGAAGTGCATAAGTCACATGTGCACAAAGGGGCCGGGTAAATATTTAAAGATTAGAGCCAGCTGGGGAGAGACATAAAGGGCTGGGACAATGAGGGTCTCTCTGAATTCACTCTCCCTGAGCTGGGCCAGCCTGGTTCAACGTTGATGCACTCACTGGAGTCCCAGCTTTTGTCCCCTGAAGGGCTTTTGGCTGCCAGGCTATTCGTAGTTCCAACACAACTAAAGAGAGTTAAACAATCAGTAGAGGCCTCTTCAATTCTGTCTGGAAACAATTGAGAGAGTCCTTTCGGGGCTTTTGCTGTGTTCCAATAGTTAATTACACAGAGCTATCGCTTCATTTCACTTTGAAATACATCTGCAGAAGGGGCCCAACACCTTTTATCCTTCAGCCAGCCGTCAGCACCCACAGAGGTCTGCACAGCACTTACTAGGTCTCATTGGCTTTATTTCCAGGGACAGAAGAAATCAAAGGATCCTACCGAAGGCTAAGAGGCCTCGGAATAAGAGCCCCCCTCACTTTGGATCGCTCACGTGTCCTCTCTGGAGCCAGCCAGCCTCCTCCCCACCTCCTTTCTGCAAAATGTGTCCTGAGACTCAGGCTCCATGAAGTAAGGGAAGGGGGGGAGGGAAAGCACACAGGCTACTTTTGCCTTAAGTTTCCCAGCAAAGGACTGCAGCGGAGTACCTGAGGCCCCCAGAGCCCTCACGGGTTACAGAAGAAAACGTTCTTTCCTTGAATGAGCAGAGGACGGCCAGGGTCCCGCCAGAGCCCTCTCTGTGCGTACCTCTTTTGGGACGCCTTGGGAGCCCAGACGCTAAAAATAGAAAAGGAGCGTGCCCTACATCAAAGCTTGCGTAAGCCTCACTTGTAAGTGGGTCCTTGTCCTTCTCGGCAGGCAGAGGACGGGGGTGCTTGCTGTTGCTTCGTTCCGGCTCGCGCAGTGCCTGCCTGAGGGTGCACATAGGACACAGAAGGACGTGCCATGTAAACACTGGGAGTGTGAGGAAGTGGGACCCCAGCCGGGATCTTAGGGAAGCGCCTCTTATGGAGGTTTATACACTGTCATTTCTAAAGACCTTGTGGGATGCCAAGAATTGACTTGGGTTTAATAGAAGTGCCTGCCTAGACGCGAGGAAAAGAATTGGGGTTAGGATGGGGATAGAGTGGAAGCAGGAGGCTGGAAATCAGAAGCCTAAGGGGCCTCGCTGGCTAGAGGCGAGGAGCAGACCCCAGACCCCCCCCCCCCCCCGGTCTGTTTGCGAAGATGTAAATAGGGTCTGGGCCGGAAGACCGTGAAGGAGGAGGGTCAGCTTAGGTGGGGGAGACTCCTAGCTGAGCACTGGTTACTAAGGAGGGGAAGCAGTGGGCGACGCTCGGGTTAGCGAGGGGCAGCGGGAGCCCAGTAAGTGGGCCGGGGCGGAGCGTGCGGGCTGCGAATCCCGCCCAAGCCAATTTCCTTGCCTCCTGCTGCCAAAGCAGAACATTGCGAATTAGTGCATTTTGCGGTCAATTTTCCACTGCTTAAGAGACATTGCGCCACCCACGTGAGCCGCCCCACCCAGCGCGGCCAGAACCCCCGAGCCTAGGAAGAGAAGGGGTGACCTCGGAGCGACGGGTGGGGGGGCGAGGCGGGGAGGCCTGGGCCCCTTTATGGCAGGTCTAAACTCTGGAGAGGGGGCGGGCCCGGCGACCCCCGCTGCGGGCCTCGAGAGCTGTGCCTGGGAGCCATTGGTTTGCTAATGCGCACGAGTTGAAAGGCGCAGGCGGCGGTTTATGGGGAGGGCATCGTAATTAGAAGACTAATTACCCCGCTGCCCAAGAGGCTCTATGGTTGGGGGCAGGGCACCCGGAGAGATGAGGCGCGCGCAGACCGCGTGCAGATGTGCGGCAGCTGGAGGGCCGCGCGCGACGGGGCGCCCGGAGTTTGGCCCCAAGGGGCGGGCGCGGCCGCGGCTTTGTGGGGCCAGCACAATGTCCTTAACACTCGAATGCCCCCTTTGTGCCCGATTCCGCTGTCCGCCCAGCCCCGCGGCGCCTTTATGCCTCGCCGCCGCCGCCCCAGCCCCGAAGCTCTGTGGCCGCTCCGGCCCCGCTGGCCCCGGCGCGTCAAAGCTCCTGGCGCGTGCCAGCGCCCGCCACGTGGCCTCGGCCCTGGACGCGCGGTCCAGGCTCCCTGGTCCGGCCCGAATCGAGCCCGGTGTCTGTGGGGCTCTGTCTGGAGGGCGCCTGGAGCCGCTGTCGGCTTTCCGCAGCTTGAAAAGGGGAGGGCGGGGCGTGATTCTCCACGCTGCGAGGCGCCTGGGAAAGCTATGGCCCCGCACGACCCGTCAATAAGCCGGGTGAGGCGGGAGGGAGATGCTCCAGCTCCGGGGTCTGGAACCCTCCCTCCTAAATTGAGGCCTGGGGGCCAAGAAGATGACTCCTCTGATGCAGAGCTCTCCTGCAGAGCTTTTGAGCCCGTGTGACTTCCCCCTCGCCCTCACCCTCGGAAACAGCAGTGGGGACATTGTTCAGAGGCCCTTTACAAATCCCCAAATTAAGGTCACAAGAGCGGAGTAAAAGAAAGTCACCAACACACACACACACACACACACACACACCCTGGCATCATCCTTCTGATCAGTCACAGATACTGAGTGCAGCCTTGGGGGACCAGTTTAGGGAGACTGGTCATGATTCCTACTCCTATTGCCTAAAGGCCGTAGATAATGGGAAGAAACTATGTAGGCTCTGAAGGATGCTTGCAGATGGCCAATGGACACATCTCTTTTGCTCCTGGAGATATAGAAAAGGCCTGCAGGAGAGGCCCTCTAGTCCTTCCCTGGGGGACGAGTCCTCCCTGAAGTCCACTTTGCCCAGTCTCGCTGACGGACCCTTATCCTGCAGCTAGCTGCCCAGCCTTGCCTCCATCCAGAAGAATGCTAGATTGGCTTCCATGGCCCTCGTTGCCACTACCCATCCTACAGCCAGGTTCTTGAGCACTCCAAGGCCCTAGGCGCCAAGCATTGAGGCCAGCTCAATGTGGTCCTGAGGGCGGGCTGCACGCTTTAATGGGACACATGTCGCTGCGTGGCCCCCGCAGGCATGACCTGCGCCAAGCTTTGAACGACCACAGGCAGAAAATCGCTGCATTGTCACGATGTTAGGGGGACTAATGCAGCGTCGCAGGCGCGGCCAGAGTGTGAAGCAAAGGCCAGAGCGTGAAGCGCCACAAAAAGGCCTCACTGGCGATGCCTCCCGCCTCAGCATCTTCATCAGGACGGCAGAGGGAGTGCCTCTGTCATCCTCATTAGGGAAATGAGGCAGGCCTGGCTCGTAGACCTGCCCCATGGCTGCCCTCCAAGGCCCAATGTGGAGGAACTCAGATGAACCGACAGGAAATCACCAGACATATAGACACAGAAAGTGGGCCAGCTGGGGATATCCACATTGTAGGAGGATTAGAACAGGACGCAGTCAAGAGAAGATCCCAGACTTGGGAAGTATTTAGGATTAGAAATAGAAAGACAAAAAAACCCACCTTTTAAAAAAAAAAGAAATATAAAGACAGACAGAGGGAAGACGGTCCCTCAGGATGGAGGAGGGGTTTGTGAGGACAGGTCAAAGGGGAAAAGGACCAGAAGGAGTGAGAAGCCTCTCCTAAGCCCCCAACAGTCCCCTCCTCCTGGGGTTCCTGGAGTAGGGAGAAGAGTTGCATTGACATGTAAACGAGGGGCTACTATAAAAGCAGAGGCGTCTCCCAAGAGCGCAGAGCGGGCAACATGGGCACGAGGGCCGAGATCCAGCGCAGCCCTGCCACAGGCAGCTTCCGCAAGGTTTGATTCTATAGGGACACAGGTGTAAGGTAGGGGTGGGGTTAGGGTACAGTTCAGGGCCAGAGGGTGGGAGGGCAGCGGTCCTGCACTCAAATGGGTCGGCTTGCCCACAGATCTCCAAGCCGCTGATGGAGAAGAAGCGCCGGGCGCGCATCAACGTGTCGCTGGAGCAACTCAAATCCCTGCTAGAGAAACACTATTCACATCAGGTGGGACCTGGGGATGCAGGGAAGGGAGGGCAAGATCCCTAGCCTCATCTTTCCAGGGCTTCCCAGCTAAGAGCCTTTCCTACTGGTCTGCAGATCCGGAAACGCAAGCTGGAGAAGGCAGACATCCTAGAACTGAGCGTCAAGTACATGAAAAGCCTGCAGAACTCCATGCAAGGTGGGGGCGAAGGGTATGGCCAGGCCTGAAGGGAGTGGGATGCTAAGAGCAGGGGGGTGGGGAAGGAGAGAGAGGTCTTCTGTGGGATTAGAATAGAGGAGACATGACAAAGCCAATCAAAGGGGATGGGTAAAGGAGAAAGCTGGGGTAACCTGGTGCAGAGAGCCCTCCAGCTTGTTTCACGCCGAGAATGAGAGTGTGGGGAGAGGTCTGGAGGGGGTCAGGTGTTTAATTTCCCCACCTTTCTTCTCCCCTTCTGGACCCCTCCAAACCTCTCTTCTCCGTCTTTTCTCTCTGCTTCACTTCGACCACTCCTCCCCTCCCTCAGGGCTTTGGCCACCTTTCGTGGGCACTGAGTACCCGTCGGGTTTCCGCGGCTGCCTGCCTGGCGTAAGCCAGCTCCTGCGGCGTGGTGAGGAGGGCGGCGGCCTGCGCAGCCCCTTCGTGTCAGACAGCAAGGGTGACAGCACCATGGACAGCGGCGGATCGTGTTCCGGCCGGGAAGCGCCAGCGCCGCGGGCTCCCTGCGCGCCCTCTGTCTGGCCTGCCGCGCAGGCTCCTGAGACCTGCGTCCCGCGGTCTCCTCCACCTCGGCTGCTCCTTCCCGGCGGCCCCACCGGCCCGACCACAAGCGTCCCCGCGCCGCAGCCAGCCCTGCGCCGCTGCCCAGAGAGCCTGGGGCCCGTGCTGCGCGTGTGGAGGCCCTGGTGAGGCCGCGCTGCCGCGGACTGATGGGCACCCCGTCGGTCCTGGAGGCGCAGGGACTGTCAGGGCGCACTGTGGCTCCCACCTTCCTGTTCCACATGCTCAGGTCGAGATTGTTTCTTCCTCCTCCTCCCCTCTAGTGGAGCTGGGCGGTGGGTTGTTCCTGAGCTGCGCCCCTTTCCCAGGGGCCCGGTCCCGCCCCTCGGCGGTGCCGCAGTGGGAAGGTCGCGGTCCGCCGCAGCGCAGAGCGGACCCCTCGCAGCGAGGAGAATCGCTGCTCCGCCCCCGCCCATTCAGCCGGCCTCGGGCGCCCGGTTCCCACCGGCAAAAAGCACGCCGGGTCCCGCCCCACTTGCAAGGACCCCTTTCTCTACCCCCCTACTCTATACTGGATCCCGCTCAGCTCTCACCGACCCCCACCACTCTGCAAGATGCCAGGCCCACCGGGAGGTCTGACTCTCCAAGGCCCGCCTTCTCGGAAGCACCGCCCCAGAATAGCTCTAGCACCGCCCCTAAAATGCTCCGCCCCTGTCATCTAACCGCCTCGCACCACCCGGTGGTTACAGCGAGCCACCGGGTGCTGAGTGGCGCCTGCATGAGGACTGCAAGAGCGACGCTTTTATGGGAGAAACCTTCGCTCCTAGCTCAGCAGAGACTCCCCGCGGCACGCGGTCCGGGTCCGGAGCAGCTCGGCCTCTGTCCTGCAGAGCCCCAGCCTCCGGACATCTGGGACCTGCCTCGAAGCTCAAGACCTCTGAGGGCCTCAGGAGTGCTCTGCAGCTCTTTTTATTTGTATGTCAATGAGCCCTCTGCCGTGCTCCCAGACGCCTAAGTCACTCTTTCCCTGGGCCTGTATCCTGGCCCTGCGAAGGGTCAGGAGTCCCACGCGGAGCCCTAGAGCGAGCCCGGAACGTCCTCCCACTGTAACTCAAGAGTCAAAAGTTTGACCCTCCCTAATGAGAACATAGAGGCATCAAGATCTGAACTTTTCCCACGATGCTTTATGTTAAAATCACAAATACCAACTTTCTATAAAAAATACTTTCTCGTTTTTGCCTACCTCTGACTTGAAAGTACAAGAAACCCACTTTGATCTGGTTGCAGGGAGACCAGAAGCTTCCCTGAACAGTACAGGGATGGGCCTATAGCTGTATTTCCAGTCATGTCTGATAGAGGCAGTGGGGACTAATCCTTCTGATGGCCACCAGGTGGTGGCCTTGCACTGCCGATTCTAGGGCGCAACTTCTACATTCCAACCGAAGTGAGGGGGTGGAGGGAAGGTCTAGGGGACCTGCCACCCTCTCCAAGTTCCCCAGGCCCCAACAACTGCTCTGCTTAGCTCCTGCTCCTGTATTCACTTCACTGGGTCCAATAGTCCCTGAAGCTGTCCCCAGGCAAAAGCTTTGGTGTCTGTCCCACCACCCTAGTTTGCTGGATGGTGCAGTCCCATCTCAGTCATTGGGTGAGGTTGGAGCACTTCCCTATGGAAGTGGACAAGTCAGACCAGAAAGTGATTTGGGGGCTATTAGGTCCTAAAAGAATGTGTCCATGGAACCACCCTGGGATGCCAAGTGCAAAGAAGAAGTTTTTATTGGGTCCTGTACAGAAGAGAAATGCTCAATTGTGAAAAACTACAAACGGATCCCTGGCTTTGGGCTGGGTGATGGTATCAACGGAACTCCCTCCCCAGTACCCAGGGTCAAGCTCTTTATAAACGTAGCCAACGGGCCTGGAAGCTGGACAAAGTGTGGAGGTGAGGAGCTGAAGACCTCAGGGTCTTGTTTGAGGTCTGCCCCATTTTATTTGTAAAAATCAGAACTGGAAGGACTTTGGGGACCATGCCCCCACCCCCTGCAAGTATTGCCATTTGATATGATCTATACAGAGTGGAAAGCCAAGGTGACAAAATTGGCTAGCCTGAAGAAGGAACTTGGCTAGCCATAATCCTTGTCCCTACATAAAATGTTGGTCCTTGAAGGCACAGCAGCATTGGCCAGAGGCAGCCCCTCTCATGGTCAGACCCGACTTTGATAGATCCTGGCCTTGCTCACCTGTGGCCAGCTCCCAGTTACCCTGTATGTAGAGACTGGAGGGGCCTCTGAGCCCTAAACAGAGCTTGGCAGGGGCCTCTTGCTGGGCTGGAACCCTGTCTGGAAGGTGAGGCAATGGCAGGACCACTTTTAGGGTAAAGGCATTGTTGCAATGCCAAGTTTGTGAATAATAAGGAACAAGGTGCAGACTTGCTCTGGGCTGCCCGAGGAATGAAAAGCCATAAGGTTTAGGGACCATTTCCAGGTCATAGCTGCACTGGGCCTCTCCTTAGCCTCTGTCTTTGTCCAAGAAGCCCCTCGTCAGGCCTGAGGAGAAAACACAGGCCTGCAGAAAGTCAGGAGCTGATTAACAGGAAGGGAAAAAAAGACCCTCCTTCATTGCCATGAAATTGAAACTGATTCAAAGCTGAGCCTCCCTTGAGTTTCCAAGGTTGTGAATTGCATGAGAGGAGACTGTCCACCTCTCTCTCACGGTGGATTTGAACTGCCAGAGGTCAGCCTTTGGTTTCACACAGCAATTCCCTATGGACTAGGCCACTAGAACGTTCGTTCCCATTAGCAGAGAAAGCAAGGAAAAACCTTGCCCCTATGAGGGGTGGGAGGCCCCTTCACCTGCACAGGGGGAGGAACGGCAGACAAGGCTGGGGAAGGGCACTAAGTGAAGGAGTCCCACTTTTCTTTTGCTTTAGGCCTTTCCACCCATGTTTCCACAGCCTTGACGGGGAGTTATGTAAGTGTCTGACAGGTGGGACAGGCAACAATGGCATGTGATTAGGGAGGGGATACTATTGGTGATCAAGGTGGCCACGTGGTGCCAATGGTGATGTGCAACAGTGTTGTGCTTAACTGGAGTGGGATGTGCACTCCCAAGGGGTTCAGGGACAGCAGGAGTGGGAGGCCCCAGGCCTGGGAGCCACACCTCAGTCCCTTCAGAGGCTAGGGCACGTGGACCAGGAGACATCTCCAAACAGCCCTGAGAGTTAACAAAGATCACCTGCTCATCACAGATGGGAAAACTGAGGCAGAACAGCTCGGAGGCAGGAACACCTGCTCAGCAAGCTGGTTTGGGCTCTGAAGACCCCTGTGCTTAGAGACCCTCTGCACCCACGCCATTGGTGTGACAATTATAGTGCAGAGGCAGACGGCACACATTCCAGAGGCTTGGGCTCCAGCTCCTCCGGGCAGAGCTTTGTTACTTCCGGTGGCCGCCCTTAGCCTGGCACTCTCCACCCCAGCTTTTCCAGCCTCAGCCCAGCCAAGGAGGTGCCAAATGTTGCAGCTTGTCTTCCAGGGCAAGATATCTCTCAGCCAAGCAATCCGGCCAGCAGGGAGGAACCAGGCAAGGAAGGAGAGGCCACACACCCTGGAGGAGGGTGGCACAAGTCTGGGCTGTGTGGGCGAGCTCAGGCGCCATTCACCAACCCGAACCCAGGACTGGACTGAAGTGGGATCTTTGGTCTTGGGCCTTGATGACCAAGCCTACCCCAGGGGTGGAGGTGGAGCATTAGGCCCTAGGACGCCGAGCCCAGAGAGTCTGAGTGCAGCGTGACGTAGCCCGATGACTCGGAGGGCGAACTTAGGAAGCTGCTAGTGCTGCCGCCGGTGCCCACCGCGCGCAGGCCGCCGGGCTCCCCCCACGATACGCTCAGGCTGGAGCGCAAGGGTCCAAGAGGCGCGGGCGGGCACGGTCTGAGGTTCGGCTGTAAGCCGCCGCCAGGGGGCGCCCGGGGCTCGGCAGGGGCGGAGGCCCGGCCCCGGCCC